TTCAGCAGTTCACATCAGCAGGATTTAGAGATCTCTGATCATCTCTTAGAGTAAAAAGGTACAATCAGTTCAACCAAAACTAAATAGTAATCTTCCATAGAAACATCATGGATTGGACTCACTTTCATCACGATTTTTCTCCTTTCATTTGCGACTAACATTTAACCCAGGATAGTCAATCTGGTAATTTTCCTGAGTCCTAAGGTTACATACACACAAGTTCAAGAATCAGGTTGGATAAAAGAATTTTTGGAATAATGTTAACTGACTGCAGTGAGTGATTCATAAATTTAGTCAGTACTCTGTATACTTTGTGTTACTTCTCTTTATATTATTAGTGGAATCACATACATATAACCAGTAGATAAATCATTACATATTTAGCTGCAAAATACACTCAGTGCAGACAGGGACACTTGAGTTTAGCAGCAGCTAAACTGAAGCAGCTCTACTGAACAGGGTCCAAGTACATTTCCTTCTTGGCCTCCTCTCTCCTCTGTTTCAATTTTGTGCAGTATCAGTTAATCTCCTGCAGTATTTTTTTCTTTTGGTGTCATGTACTATCTGAAAGAATGCTCCCTCAGTTAGCTTTTTCCTCACATAAGGAGTTATTCCGAGAAACAGGGAGGTGCAGGATTTATTCTCCTAAGGAACAGAAGGAATGTTACTGCTTAGAATATCGTTCCACAGCTTATTCAATTACTCCCATGCATTTGCTTCAGAGCTCTTGAAAGAAATATACCCATGTGACACGAAACACATGCCCAATTTACAAGTACAGTCTTCATCAAAGAAAACACTCCCCTCCGCTATCTTGTGGTTTTTGCAACAATGCTGAATTTTTGATTTGCTTTGTATTACAATAAAAGATTAAGATGCAGTAGGACATAGGTCTCAAATCCCCTCCCTCCCCACTAAAACATGTAATCAAGCAAACAACATCAAGATATAGGTAGGGAAAAGGCACGTTTTGCAAGAACAGGATATCTGTCAGCCCTGAACTCAGAACCCACTGAAGGGTGCTGTGGACCTCTGAGCACAGCCTTGAAATCACAGTATGGGTGGGAATCACCACTCTGGACAACAGATACAAATCGTGATCAGTCTATTAACAGCGCAGAAGCCCAAAACTCCACGTTGGTTGTACTGGCCTTTACTTGTCTCACTTGTACCTGAAGGGAATTAGCTAATGTAATAGACATCATTTAAAACCATGTAGGCAAGTCTTTTTCCATTAGTATTTTTCTTTAGCATTCAAAAAGCAACGCTAAGCTGGCAAGCTGTGCTTCCACTGATCTACATGTAATCTAACAAAGCAGCTGCACTCAGAAGGAACAGTGACTTCATCGGAGAGCAAAGTAAAAAGTCGGAGCTCAAATAAAACCTTTTAAAAAGAAGATTCTAAAACAAAAGATTAATTAACTTCAAGGTATCAGGATGAGGCCAAAGATCCAATACTCAGGATCAAATTGCTGACGAGGGAAAAGAGAAGACAGGTTTTTGTTCATATCCCTCTTAAGGGGAGAGGGGGACTGCCCTCTGCTACAGGAAAGAGACTACATGGGCCATCCCACTTCTTTCTGGTTTTCACAAGGTCTTACAGGACTATGGAAGTGATCTTTTAAAACATAAATACACCTACATTAAAACAATATTTTACAGGAATATATACATACTGTTATTGTTACATATTGTTATTACGATAAATACACATGTATTTTCTATTTCTAAACCTACCACACATGTCCTGCAACTAAACTGCTGCTAGAAAAAAATAACTTGTTAATGAAGTTAATTATAACTGGCGCAACTGGTTTTAAATACCTTGAAGTTTGCTTCAGTGTTTAAAGAAAGAAAAGCTAGAAATGAACCCAGTTCAAAGCAGTTTAGCATGCAAGGGCCGCACAGAGAGAATTCCAAGAACATTATGTTCAACTGACCCTTGCACACGGGTTTTCAGATTTTTTAACAGGAATTATTAGGAATTGTAAAAATAATTTTAAATAATAATGAGCAATGCAAAGACCTGCACAATGAAAATAACACTCACTGACATTTAGCCAAAAGACTGCGGAGAAGAAAAACACAATATATGAGTATAATACGCTCATTGCTTCTGATATCTTCCTTAAAACATATGATTTATTAGCCCTGACAAGATAATTAACTAATCTAAGAAATATTAGTACCTGGTCGTGAAAACTTAAATCCTCCCAAAGCGGGATCCCAAATACTTGTATATGCATTTTGAAAATGCCACCACATTTTCTGTCTGTTCCATTTTCCTTAATTACATTATAAGTTTCCTGGGACAAGGACCTTTACCTCTTTACATGGCCACTATTGGTATTTTACTGGTAAATAACCATATCATAGCAGTGTTCTGTTGTTTAAAAATTGGAAAAACAAAGAAAAAAGGAAACAAAATTATTTTAATGCTACTAATATTTACATAGCATTATCCTTCATTTTAGTCCTAAAAGCATAAGGACCTCCATCCAATAAACAAATAATCCCGTGTACTGTTATTGCTCTTCCAGCTATTTGTTGGCTCTTTGTAGCTACATTACTCACTTCTGCCTGCCAACCAAGTCTCTCCAAAACAGCAGTAATTGTCATCACCAGAACTACTATTTATAATACACATAGTCTATGGGACAGGTTCTGATCCTTGTAAAATTGCTGTAAATTCAGAGTGATTTTATTAATTTAATAGAATTGATGTCATCCAGATCATAAATTGGGCCAGGTCTTTCTCATATCATTTACAGTAACTGGTGGAGAACAGTATAGATTTCCAGCAGAACGGCGTGTATTTCACACAGCCTATTCTTTACAGAGAGGCATATTTTAACCATGCCACTACTTATATGCAACTGCTGAATTTGAAGCAGGTGACCTAATTCATGGTAACAGAATGCAATGTCCAAAGAGTCTGACTCAAAGCTGCCACGTACTTTTATGGGCTGGACCAGAAAATGTCTCAAGTTTCTTGCATCATTTAATGTCTTGAAAAGATTTTTTTCTGCCAGAGTTGCCAGAATTATTTGCATCCTGCACATGCCAAACTAAAGAGGGAGCCAGGATTTTCCAAAAGCAGGGACCACAAAATTGCTCGGCTTTTGAAAGAAGGAAGAAACAAATTAGCCCATACATTTTGATTTATACTGAGATCTAATGCTTTTAACATATTTTGCAGTGTTTAAAATATGAAAATGTGAGTATAAAAGCAATTACAAATCACAGGAAAAAAACACTAACTGGGAAGTGTGACACCTTTTAGTTTCTCTATATAACAGTCTACTGTTGCATTCATTTTTTTAGGATACATGCAGTTCATTTCTTATAGTAATAAGCTCACTTAGGATACTTGCTGGGGACCCTAAAATTTACAGGAAGGGCTGCTATTTAATCTCATTTTACAATTCAGGATTGTGGGAAGAGTTTGGCTCAGGAAGGCATGAAAGTGGGTGTTTCTGTTAGCCTCTGCTCTTCCACACCCATGCTTTCTGACAGGCTAAGATCTCCAGAGTAGTGGATTTTGGGCTGCAGTCACAAAACCCCGAGTGTCTATTGGTTCTGAGAAAGACAAATAAGAAAAGGAAACCTGTTGTCATTTGTCTTAAATTTTTTTCTACAGGAATTGAAAGCCACTGGTTTTAAGTTAATAAAAAGCCAGACTGTGAATGGTACTCCACGTATTTTGACATGTCTAAAGGTTGGCTTCGTAAATGTTGTTTGGAGAAGAGTTTCACACTGATAAAACCTGGTGCTCCCTCTCTCTGGCACCTCTTCTCCCATGCTCTGGCTTTGTTTCTTCTTCATTTTTTCTCAATACATCTTCTGCATGCCATTTCATAACCCTCGTGTTCACCTAGATTAGGTGACCTTTATGGGGAGGCAGGTCACATAACATCTCCCAGTGGCTGGAGAGAGTTACCTGATTAGATCTACTGTTAATGTGTTTCATGAATCCCTAGTGATGGGCCATGTCCAAAGACTCTAACCATGCTATGTTTTCATATTCTGAGTTTTTCATGTAACCGCTCAATTATTCTAAAAAATGAGCAAAGGAAAATGATTCTAAGTCATGAAGGGTCAGCAGACAAAAAAGCTGACCAGAAAACTGCCTGATGAAGTAAGGTAATGATCAACAAGGGAGATGAACCTTCTGTTTTTAAAATATGACAGCCACAAGTTAACTGCCATCCCTGTCCTCTGATTTTTGGCAAAACAGGGAAAATCATTATAAAGAAAATTAACCTGACAAAATGAAGAGATTAGCCCTGAGTAACATAATGAGAAGATCCATTTCCTCAGCAGTAGATTTGATTAGCTTCAGTTCGGTCATCATTACACACACCACACATACAGCTGTAACTTGCTAGATTGGGAAAAGATAGCTCTGACAGGACCTCCACAGACCAAAATTTATTTTCTCTAAGCAGTGAAAACAAGGTCTTTTTTCCAATGCAGCAATCTTGTAGCAAATATTTATTTTGTAACACTTAGATAAAGTAGGCCTAGTATCCAAAAGTAAACACCTTCTTTCAACACCTACTAACCTGCCTACAAACTTTCTCCTATTCCTGCCTGCAAATGGCAATGTCCCTTTCATTATAAACTAACTCAGCTAAAGTTTGGTCAGCTGCTCACACCTTTATCATTTGTATCTGAGATGGCTTTTGAGGGTGTTTTTCCTTTTTTTTTTTTTTAATTACTTACCAAGCAGAGCTCGTGAGTTAACATCTCTTCTTTGTGTGAAATGTGCTCCAGGAAGATCTCTTGCCATGATTGAGACAGTGGAAAGCAAAGTGTGTCCCAATAGCAGAAAGAAGTATGCAATCATTTTCTCCATTTTCAGAAAAGGCAGGGACATTCCAGGATGCAAAACTGCAATAAAGGAAAGAAAGAGATGAGCTCTCTGATTACACAAGAAGATACTCTGTAACCATCCAGTTGCGCTGCCTTCTTCCCATCACATACGAACATGCAGATGTACCGGCACGGAATAACACTTACACCTTCAAAAAAGAAGTTCTGCATAACAGAGTAGCAGTTAGGAGACCCTGCATAGTCTTTATGCATATTGACAGCCGAAGTTCATAGTTAACATTTTAAATGTATCGACTCTTACAACCATACATAAGAATCAAGCATACCTAAAGCAAGAAAAGGAACTTTTTTTCAGTGAGCCTCTCAGCATAAACAGGTTTGAGGAGGACACAAATATATTTTCATTATTGTACTCAGCCCTCTGTGTGTTGTGTATTTTTTCAGAAACTTAATGGTCCTATCAGTCTGAGATATGCTTCGTTCAGAAAATTTCAGAGAAGAAAACAAGAGAGAACGGAATACACTCCAGAAACAGAAACTATTAGCGTAAACTGGCAAAAGCTCATGCTTCATTATTCAGAAGAGTGTCCATGGTTGCTAACAGGGAGATAACAGTGCAGAATGAAGAAATCTTGTTTACTCCAAGAGAAGACTCCTGAAAACTGGCGATGAACATAACCTAACCATAGGCTATAACCATAGGCATAACCATTCAGAAGAAAAAATTAACTGGCAAAACTCCTAGACCAAGAGATGATTTATGTGCAGAAGTTTGTTGAGGCACCGTCAGAAGCCACGGCTGCCTCTGCCCCCAAGCAGAAAGCTACCAGTGACATGCTAAATGCTCATCTTTTGGCCAGGTCCCCTGTTGGTGGGCTTCCTTCTGTCTCTATTCCTTCTACCTTCCCCCAAAATTTCATTGCTGTGGGTCATGAAGAGCAGCTCAGAGGAGCTAGATTCAGCCTTGGAATTGGTGACACGATGAATCTGAGTCACGAGCTCTCCTAGGTGTACAAGAAGATGGGTAAAACGACCCACTTTTACAACAAAAAATGAACGTTCTACATGAAACAATGTGGCAACTTTAGAAGCAGTGCACGTTTTAACAGGAATCATTGGCTAAGTAACTAGGATGTTGAAAAAAATTGTAATATTGGAGTCTTAAACTTGATAGGTTGAACTACACAAGGCCACAGATCTGTAACAGAAGACAATTAAATGCCTCAGCTCAACAACAGAATTAAATTTTTCTTTCTTACCATGAGGTACTCATTGGCAGAATATGAGATTTTGAGTAAATCTATTCTGGTAAAGGAATTTTATGTCTATTTTTTCCCTTTTGTGGACCCTACTCAGCTTTCCCAAATACAAACATAATGTTCTGGTATATATGCCATAGAGTAAACCAGATTGAAGTGTTCATACTCCAAATGACCAGCCTTGCTTAAATGTTCAATATTATTCAGGAACAGGCAACATGTGATATAAAGTACTCAAATTAGGCAAGAGATTTATAGAAAAAGTTGATACTTAGAACAGTGGCCAGAATTCAGTAAACTTTTGGAATTCGAGCAACATGGACACCTGGACGGTGTTACAGGTAGAGTGTGTCCAGTTCTCGCGTCAGAAACAGATGGACACTGCAGACAGTGTACACCACCAAAAATGGGACAGCCTTTTGCTGAAGGTAACAGTTGTTACTGCTGGAGCCTACCACCGAAAGCTATTCCCAGGCTGTTTCCTCACTTCTCAGCACATTAGCAACAAACTCTGAGCTCTGCGAGGAGCTCTCCCTTCTCTCTGGCCTGCTCTCTACACAGAAGGCAAACAGGCCTCAAGGACAGATGCCAGTTCTAGCACCAGCATTTTAGAAGTGTAGAAGCCATGCTCAGAGAACTAAGGAGTGTAAATAAGTATTTCTCATAATTATCTGCAAGGCTGTCACAGGAACCATGCATGAATAGCTCTCATGAAAGGGTCATCTGGCTGTTACCTGGTTATCAATGGCATCACTCAACCCTCCTTCCCATCCCTCCAAAAACAGCTGTGGAGATTGGACTAATCTCTAGGTAAAGCCTTTTTACCTACTCCTGCTGGCACATTAATGGAGAACCAAATACACCGTAGCAGACCACCTTCACAACACATCACTGAACCATCAAATAGGCGCACAATGTCATAGGAAACTGTAAGAAATAAAGCAGGACAGTTCTACTCATTCTGTAAAGCACCCCAAACCAGACACTCTTACGTTCTGCATTCAACCAATTTTATACCTTTGTAGCAATTTTTGATATTTAATAGTAATTTCACATTCACTACGCTCACAGCTTCTCCAGTAACTTAAGAAATAAGGGGAGAAAAGGCTTTTCTTCGCTGTGATTTTAAACATTTGAATTCTACTAGGCAAATGTTTATATAGCATGCAAATATCATAAATTAGCTAAACAAATAAACTAAAACACCTAAGTAATCATTCATCTGCTGTAACTGAATTATGAAATAAAGAAATATAGGTAAATTTTCAATTTGCATGATTTCACCAGTCACATTTGAAAAGTAAGGGATACTAAAGAAACAGAAGAACTGAAAAACAGTGTCTAGTCTTCTGGGTTTTTTCATTTTGAGGTTTTTTACACAAACTTCACATAGCTTCTACTGTTTAATAGTAACTCATTTTGATTTGGAAACCTTAGATCCTTGGATCTCAATACCTTTACCAGCCCGATAACTGGAACATAAGCATACACACAGTTCCATCAAAAAAACATGTAAAGCTAAGAAAACAAGCAAATAACAGACCATGTATTGTCCACATACTCCTACCTTGAAAAACAGTGTTTTAAACTAGTTCCAAAATACAGAGGAGAGCTTTAAATCTCCCATCTTACGAGTTCTGATATATAAGATAATTGAAAATAAAAATTAAAGTGAAATAGAGTCAACTTCTATGACAAAAGCCAAGATGTTTCTGAAGCCAAAAGCTGTGTGTTTGAGAAAAGGCACAAGTGAGCCAAGCCTGTTTTCTTCTCTTGCCACCTTTTCATACAAACTGGAAGTTTCTGTACTGTTCTCCTGAGATAGTGAGAGGCTGGCCTTGTATGCTTTGCTGTTGTTCCAGGTACATACTTGTGTCTACTGCTCCTTGCATTTTAAATGGCCAGTCTGCATTGTGGCTGCAGGGCTTCCAGTCCTCCCAGTTTTTTCTTTATTTTCTGGGTCTTCTGCAAGGTTCCCTGTCTTCGTTCTGGAAACTGGATGCTGTTTATTGCACCACATTTGGTATTTAACACCTCATTTTCCTAGCAGCCTAAGCCAGGCTCCTGGCACAGCTCTTTGTGACTGTACATTGCTGGCTAACTCTTGCTCTACCAAGCTGAGGACATGTTCCCAAAGTACCAGTCAAAATTAAAAACAAATATTTTAGTGGATATCTGGAGAACATATTTCAAGTACTTCAGTTCCAGCTGTTACAGTAGGAGTATTCATCATGATACCACCAGGAGCCAATTCACCTCGACAGACCCGGGACCAAGTTGTTGTATGGTGAACATCCCAAACACCTCAAGAGCAAAGGACACCCACAAGAGGTGTGGCAATATTTGGAGCTCAACCATCAAACAAGAGCATAGTGCCAAAGGAAACTCCTCTAGCTCCAGGTCTCCATTTACCTATCCGTGGAAAGAAGACGAAGAGGGTCCATGCAGGGCTTTCACGGCAATCTGGGGGCAGGCAGTGCAGCACAGCTAGGAGACACTCTAGCAGAATCCTAAAAGACTTGACCAACAGTGAACAGACAGCTGCTGCTCACAGAGATACAACCCGGAAAGGGCTGCCTGCAATATCTGCAGCCATCCTGAAGAAGTTTGGTGTAAAGGAGGAGAATTTTCCTGGAAGAAAGGAGGACAAGTTTCCTAGAACTTTTAAATAACGGCAGGGAAGAAGAGATGCTCTGTGGTGCATGCTGAAGTCAGTGTCCTTCTGGATCTTACTGCACTTCCAGGAAGTAAGCAATGCCTGCGGATTTGTTGGTAAGTAAGAATTCTAGCTCATCAGTTAAGTTAAGCCTTACTATTTCAGTTCTGCAACTCATTAGAGCTCTCTGTTTTCCTGAATATTTTGCATAAAACTCTTGAAAATCATCAGCACTTTAAAAATTTCTTTCACGTAGAATCAGGAAACCCTTTCTCTGGCCTGGAATGCCACCACTTTTTCATTCAGGTACCTTAAAAATGTGCCTGTCTTTGCTGGGCAGCTCATGCTGAAAAAGAAATTGGGAAACCAGGGTAATAAAATGCTTCAACTGATGCCTCCCACCCCTCTGGATGGTCTCCTTTGTCATCTTGCAGTACAAATTCCTTCCCAAGTGTTAAATCAGACCCACGAACTCTGCAGTCTCTGGCATCTCCACCTTCCCCAGGTGCTACCAGAACCACCAGAAGGCATTGAAAGTGCAGTTCTCAGCAGTTCCCTGGGACTTCAACACCTTTCGTAACTACAGACAACATGCCTTCTCTCAGGCCTTATGCAGTGTCTCATCCTAGATGGTGAGGAAAAGGAAGACACTGTAGAGGCTGCCTTCAGCTTTCCTGGTTTGACAGTTAAAACAAACAGCCATTTACTTCCTGTAAGTTGCCAGCAGATCTAACTTTGATGTTCTTAAGTTACAAGGATCATAAATGCATACAAGGGAAAACATTCTGCAGTTCTTTCAGCACTCCTCATTATCCACCCATTTTCAAGATAATAGGAAACTGCAATTAAATCCAAAGAAATGAAGCTAACAAATCTCCAAGTTAAGTCAATAAAATCATAGTCCATGTCCCCAAAGTAGCAACCACAGTTAGTTACATGCAAGTTGATACCTACTTTGGAAAACCAATCAGCTCTTATTACACGCAAGCTACAAAATATCCCATTCTCAATCCCATCATCTCAAAAGTTAAAAAAAGAAAGAAAGACAGAAGGCACTTTAAAGCCCTGTTAATCATCAGTTAGAACATGTTCCACAGTATTTTACTATCCACAAGCCAGCACCTGCATCA